TTCGGCTGCTTCAGCTGGCGTTGGCATTTTTGGCTCATCGTTTGAGCCATGCTGGGCTCACAAATGGCCTTTGGCAAATGAGGCTCTTGATCTGCAAATATGCCTCTTTCAGGTTTCTCATGGGCACGCGCACGGTTGCTAAAACATGTCAGGTGATGCTGGTAACTTGTGTCATTGATTTGGGTCTGGTCATTTCTCCATACGGTCCATACAGCTATATGCACTTGGACAAGCACGGCAGCGCTATTAGCGCCCAGCAGGCACACAAGAAAAATACTATACAAGCCAATAACAAAACAGCACAAAGCACTACTAAGAAGCACAACGCGAAGTCTAAAGCAACGCCACACACAAACAGAACCGAGCAGCCCTGGGCTTTTGCAGAGCAGCGCTAAACCAAACTGTGAAGCTACCTCCAAAAGACACACGCCTGAGCCGGGTCACGAGGTTGTGTTATTTCTTTGCGAAGCATCCTTTTCGTATAATTCTGTTTGAGCGCAGGTTGGAGCCTTGCTTCCGGCCCCCAATTTTAAGTATTTGAATATCGCAGAATGACAGAGGACAACTGCAAACTCATCAATTTTTAATGGAAGCCGAGAGATGGTTGATAGGAAACTATCGCATTCTGAGGAAACTCAGCAATTTTGCCCACCTTTTTGTGGTGAACCCAACCATTTTTGACAGGAAACCTATCCATACATATTAAGAGGACACCCATGGATTTTGTGGGAACCCATCCCCTTTGGAACTAGCGTTCAAGGTCGCTAATGAGCATTGGCAATGTTCCTTTGGGGATACAATTCCCTGTAACTACCTTGATATGTTGCAAGAAGCAGACAGTTTGCATGATTCAAACGAGACATAGAGAGTGAGAGATGGAAATGGTCACCCGCAAGCTTGCTCGCTGGTGTAGAAAAGCATCCTTGATACTCTGCCCAGACCATATCGGTTGCTCAGGCGGCTTGCCACAAGTCAGTGGGAAAACAAAAACTGGACCATGCTGATAGTCATGGCGATGTGTCAATCCATCGCCTTGCATGGTTGCTATTGAGCATACGCATACACAAATACAAGAAACTTTGCTTGGGTTTTTGTGTGGTTCTGCTTGTTGAGGAGGAAGCCCTTCATTTTACAATCTTTGTCAGGAATAGGATAATTACTTGCCCTTAAGGACTTTGGACATCTCGTCTTTCAAACATAAGTGTGTTTAGCTTAGCGTGTTTCACTTTGCTCGCACAACCCTCATTTGCTGCATTTTTGAGCTTACAAGGCTATCCAGCTACATGGCTAAGCCAGCTAGCCAACTACTAACTTAGCTAGTTGTTGGCCAAGTCTCCTTTCTGTCTGGCTGGGTAGCTTAACTAAATGACTGACTATCCAACTAACTAGCTAGCTAGCTAAAAGAACTACCTAACCAGTTAACGAACTAACTAATCAACTAACTAACTAAGCAACTAGCTAGCTGAGCAACTAAGCAATTTGACAACCAATGAACAACGAAACGAACTAACTAATAACTAACTAACTAAATAAATAAAAAAATACATAACTAACTTAAGTAATTAAGTGGCTAAGTACCAGCCAGCTAGCCAACCAACCAACCAACTAACCAACCATTTTTGCAAATCAGCTAATGAGCGCTTGCTACCGGGCGGCTTCTCATAGTACGCTTGAAAACTTTGCCCCAGCTAATATTGTGCCTTTTGTTTGGCGGGTCTTCGCCAAGTTCCAGCTCCTACCTCCAGGACATCTCTTGCAAGGTTATGGGCTTGCACAATACAATTGTTTGTGCATGCACAAGCTGAGGCCGACTGGTGGCACCTCATGCCAAAGGGCCCCGCGCTTATGTCACACATTTCCAAGCCGGGTGTGTGTGTGTGTGTTTGTGTGTGTGAGTTGGCGTGTTCAGAAGGGTTTCCTCTGAAGGGTGGGATGTGGGGTGTGGTAGGTGTGTTGTCCTTGAATCTAACTCGCATCTATCAAGGCAACTACGTTATCTTTCAGTCTTCATTGGCGTGCTGCAGGTCTCTTCATGGTCTTGGAAAATGCGCCGGCCTATCTGCTGTCTGGAATAGATGTCTTCCCTCTGAAATCCACTCAAAGCCGAAGGCTTTTCGGGGCCTGCAAAACCCTGCATGTTTGCTGGCGCTTTCTTGCTTTTGCTGCAACAAAGCTGCATTTCGTCTAGCCTCCGTATTCCTGGCATCATTGAGGTCGTCTGCGTTCTTGCTCACCTTCGGCTGCTTCAGCTGGCGTTGGCATTTTTGGCTCATCGTTTGAGCCATGCTGGGCTCACAAATGGCCTTTGGCAAATGAGGCTCTTGATCTGCAGATGCGCCTCTTCCAGGTTTCTCGTGAGCACGCGCGCGGTTGCTAAAACATGTCAGGTGATGCTGGTAACTTGTGTTATTGATTTTGGTCTGGTCATTTCTCCACACAGCTATATGCACTTGGAAAAGCACGGCAGCGCGTCTTCCTCCCAAATCCTTGTCAAAGCCAACGGCTTTCAGAGCCGGCAGTTTTCGCAAACAAGCTCTCACCCGCAGTCACCCTCCCACACTCTCTCGCGCATGAATCCAGCATTTGGCCTCGGTCTCAGGCACTCACTATTAGCGCCCAGCAGGTATATTAGAAAACTATTGTACAAGCCAATAACACAACAGAACAAAGCACTACTAAGAAGCACAACCCAGCAACGCCACACACAAACAGAACCGAGCAGCCCTGGACTTTTGCAAAGAAGTACTAAACCAAACTGTGAAGTCACCTCCAAAAGACACGCGCTGAGCCGGTTCACAAGGTCGTGTTATTTGTTTGCGAAGCATCCTTTTCGTATAATTCTGTTTGAGCGCAGGTTGGAGCCTTGCTTCCGGCCCCCAATTTAAGTATTTGAATATCGGAGAATGACAGAGGACAACTGCAAACTCATCAACTTTTAGTGGAAGCCCAAAGATGTTGATAGGAAACTATCGCATTCTGAGAGGATTCTCAGTAATTTTGCCCGCGTTTTTGTGATACACCCAGCCATTTTTGACAGGACACCTATCCATACATATTAACAGGACACCCATGGATTTTAAGGGGAACCCATCCCCTTTCAAACTAGCGTTCAAGGTCGCTAATGAGCATTGACAATATTCCTTTGGGGTTGTTGCAACAAGCAGACAGTTTGGATGATTCGAAATAGGCATAGGTCACCAGTGTAGAAAAGCATCCTTCCCTGCATGTGCGCACGAAAGCCATGATACTCTGCCCAGACCATATCGGTTGCTCAGACTGCTTGCCACAAGTCAGTGGGAAAACATAAACTGGACCATGCTGATAGTCATGGCCATGTGTCAATCCATCGTCTTGCATGGCTGCTATTGAGCATATGCTTACACAAATACAAGAAACTATGCTTGGGTGTTTGTGTGGTTCTGCTTGTTGAGAAGGACACCCTTCATTTTACAATCTTTTAAGGAATGACATAATTACTTGGCCTTAAGGATAGAATACTTGCCCACAATCAGAATACATAAGAAAACTGAAACAATCCATGCTTTCACACTGGATCTTTTCTAAGTGTTGGCAGCTTCATATAATGCGAGCTGCAAAGGTTCTGTGTCGTCTGAAAAGCCCACAAAAGCACTCCTGTTCTTGAAGGGGGCCATCCCTTCTGCCAACCATGATTCAAGGCCCTCTGACACGCCCAAAACGAGGGTGTTCTGTCAATTTGTGTGGGGGTCCTCTCAAAATGGATGTGTGTCCTCCAAACGTGGATGGGTTCCCTCTCAGAATGGATGGGTTGCCTTTCAACATGGTTGCTTCTTAACATGGGTAGGTTTCCTCTTGAAATTAGATTGTCTTCCTCTAAAAATTGACAGGTTCCTCTCAAAATTGATGGGTTTTCCAATAACGGATGAGGCTCCTCTCCAAATGGATGGGTGTCCTTAAAGAACGGAGCAGAGCGGTGTGCTTGCTATATGGCTGCCCCAAATCGCCCCACATCAAGGCTGCGCAATATTGGCAATTTAAACCTTTCTTCAAACTCGGGGGCGTTTAAGCGGAAGTTTAAACACCATTGTTTCATTGGCTTTGCAACACCCTGCTATTGAATTGAGCAGTGTTGCTTCAGAAAGTATTCATACACACGTGAACAATGAGTTTCCCTAGAAGAAAGCCTTCACGCTGCAGCAACACCGTGCTCAAACAAGCACCTCCAAAGCAGTGTTTTGGTTTAACGAATAATTGGCCCGATTGCGCACCATGTTTAAACGTATTGCTTCTGTGTAAACGTGTCCCCTGCCCAGAAAAGGCACAAGGGGCGCCGCAAACCGAAGCACACTCACCCCGTCCACCTTGGATCCCCTGATTTTCGAAAAAAAAAAAAAAAAAAAAAAAAAAAAAAAAAAGAAAAAAAAAGCCGACGGCAGGTGGCCCTTGAAAGCAAGAAACAGCTGACTCTGTGGCTCAAAGCTGACCTGCTCATCACGGACAGCTCTTTTGCACACTACCCAAAGATACTCTTCAGCATGTGAAGCGTGATGAAAGCCCTTCGTGGGAAGCGTCTACGAGAGGCACTTGACGCGTTGTACTGTTCAAGATAAAAGGGCGACGGCCCGCCCTCCCAGACCCTCCCAGCGAAAAGTGACGCGCTACACCCCTTCTACGGTGGCCACGGCCCTGGGAAGCTGCAAGTCTGGCCATCTTATGAGCCTTCACTAAAGAGGCCTGCAAGCAAAGATAAAATCGAGTTGGTGGTTGGCCTTCATGCCTTAATAGGCACAAGAGCTTGCAATTAGCTCCACCTAACACGCACTTATGCGTCTACGCGGTTGGGAAAACCGTTCGGAGCAGGATCATGCAAGGCACTGCTGCAGCTTCAGCATCACATGGTGCGCTTCTGTGGTTGAACATTCCGTGGTGTTGGAGAGGGAAGTCACAATAAACATGGGCGCAACGCTTGCAAAGAGCGTTACAAAAGCGCAATCAACCGCAAAGCACAAGCCAAAGCTTGCCTCTCGGCGATATATGGCTTCAAGCTGTTTTTCTGCTTCAATCTCCTGCGGGTGCGCTGAAAGCATCACAGTTTCATCGAGCCTTGCTTAGCAAGAAAAAGGAGTCAAATGAGGTCCTCAACCGACTTCATCGCAGGACGTGCACGCTGCTTTGGTCTTGCACACGGAACTTGCAAAGCAGCGGCCTCAGCACATCGTTGATGTTTCCAAGGCGCTCCCCACTGCCTCAGCCTCTGCAGCAGCTTCAGCCTGAGTCTATTAGGCTTTGGCGGACTCATGACTTAAGTGAACGGAAGCCGACTCATGCCGTATGGTGACTCACGTCGACTCATGTTGAATCATGCTCGGAATGCTGGACTCTTTGATGTGCCACGCTTGTTTTAGCCATTGCACCATCAGCATGATTGCATGACTATGCCGAGCAAGCTGCCTCAGAGTCCACCATCGATGTTGGCTCCAGCTCGATATCATCGTCTTTCCTCAACAGATTAACAAGGGAGAACAGGCTTTGCAACGTGGACTAGTCCAACAGTCAAAAGAAGTGTGGACGCCAAACGGAGCACAGAACGGCCTTCGCTGCTCTTCCTCACTGGGAGGTTCCGTGGCATCATCTGCATCCTCCGTTGGTGGCTCTGTGTCAGTGTCCTCCGGCCTCAGAGACTACTGACACACTACACATGCTCAAATGATCTCAAATGCTTCAGGAAGAAATGACGTCACGAACTTTGGGCTGGCACTTTGGCTCAGGTCGTGCCCGCTGCTTTGGCCGAGCACTTGGGACTCCCTCACAAGAAAGAAAGATGGAAAAACACACAGGCACGCGGTGGCGGCTGAACGGCCAGCGCAGGCTGCATGCCTCATCACTTCCCGCGCAGAGTCTGTCAAGCTCTGTCTCCTGCTCCTGCGTGTATGCAAAATGCTGGCACGGAGATCGGTGAGATTCCAGTCTCGATGCAGCTGAAGCCAACACTTCGCTCCGCGCCCTTCTAACGTCCCGAAGGACCATGCTACCACTCTCTCGCTCAGACTGTCAAGCGGAATGACGCTGTGTGGTTGACAAACGGCTCCAGAACCGCACCGCGCGTTCACTGTTGATTTTGCAGATGTGCCAATACGGCCACGTGCTCGCTTGCATGCTTGCTCGACAGAGTCGATACACGCGTCCACCGTCCACACGCATGCGCACCTGACTTGATCCAGGGGTTCATACATCGACATGATGATTTGCACATCTGCACAGCTCGACTGAGTCCAGACCTTGGCCAATTGGGCCAATGATACAACACATAGAGTTTGCGTGGGGCTGGCTTGCTTGCAAGACTTGTCCAAACATATTACCCTGCTGGAGGTTGCCAAGTCGCTAAAAACGCCTTCTGGCGATGAAAGAGTTTGTATAGGGCAGCTTCTTCGTTCTGGGACTTTCTAGGATTAGCGTGGCGTAGTCCAAAGGAATCGTCAATGTCTGAAGACTTTGCGAGAGAGACATCCACCTACTTCTCGCTTGCGTGCAAACTCTGAGTTACAGCTGGGGAACACTAGCGTTCGGTCTCTTCCGCGGCGCAACAGTCTCGCACCGCGGAGGGAAGAAACTTCCTTGAACGCCAAAGGGGCATCTTGTTTCAGCCAACGAGATCGGTCCGAGGGGCCTTTAACTGCCACGACAGTCCACGACACCTTAAACTTGCACGAGAGACTGTCCTCGGGTTTTGGCAAAACTCGCTGGATCGGCTTCGCCATAGCTTTGGAGCGCCCCTGGGCCTTGCATCTCAACTTCAACGAAGACTTCTGAGAGAGTCGCCTGCCTGAGGCAGGTCCGGCGCTCGTCCGGCGAGAAGCCTCCACACGCGGTGTCAAGCCCTGGCTTTCACGAACCGTCAGAGGCCTGTCCAACTCGGTCTCGTCGTCATCTTCCAGGTAGGGGCTGGGCTCTCGAACTTTGGCCTGCCGTATTGGCGACTGACGCATGCCATAGAACTGACGCTCACGCTCTCGTCTGAGGACGTGACGCGCTGCTTTGGTCTGGCGCAGGGAACTGCCTCACACATCGGTGCAAAGCAACGAAAGCAATGCCAGCCAAGTCAACCAGCTCTCAATTGCTCTCCCTCAGAGCGAGGCTGTGTCCTACCAAGTGCAACGCTTAGTGCCATCTGTCAGCACAAGTGGAACCGTTGCAACTAGAATCCCCACCTCTGGAACGGAGGCTGCAGCCCACCCGGCAATATCAGATTCCTGTGGTTCCCAATTGGACCATGATAGAGCTTGAAAATGAAACAATGAGCTGAACTGGGATTGTCTAATGAGCAAAGCGCTGCCTTCCACAACTCTGACCTGCCAGCAGTCTTGCGGCGCTTCTTACGTTCCTCCTCAGAAGGAGCATGACATGGTATCGTCTGGTGGGAACTTGTGAACCGTGAGATTGTGGAAACTTCAAAACCCAAGGCCTCCCTCCGCTGCTTCTCTTCACGAGCCCGCCTCAGACTTTGTGTGGCTCGCCAAGTCCGACGAGAACATCATCTGGGCAAGAAAGCATGTTTGCACCCCATGTGACAATGTGGTTGACGTCTGGTTCACCTTGCCCTCTGATGCGTTTTGACCCATGCCCCTCTACATCGTGCTGCTTTTGCGGCTTGGGAATCCTTGGATTGCACGCGAGTGACAATTCACGTTTCTTGTGCACAGCAGCCAAAATTTCAAGAGGAGTCCGCGTCGGGGAGGGAGACAGTTGGCCAACAGTAGAGGGAGAAGGAACAGTGATGCAGTGATGGGACCGATGGGAGGTGGCCGTCACGGGCCGCCGCAGCGGCTCGAGTTAATCAAACTTGGCGCCTGACGGCCACGTGAAGCGGTACACCGCAGCCGGGCACTGAACATTTGAGGCTACCGTTCAGCAAGGAACTTGTCACAAAACGAATATCAAGTTCAAATTGCAGGTATGCACAGGTGGTCAGCCCGTGCTTCTAGCGTCAAGCACGCAGCGTTGCTTGATGGCTGCCCCCTGCAGTTTGAGGTGTCAGCTTTGCCTCCATGAACTAGGAGGGCTCAGACAGAGAGCAAGAGAAAGAGAGAGAGAGAGCGAGCGCGAGAGAGAGAGAGAGAGGGAGAGAGAGAGACTCACGCAAGCAATCGTCTCTAACCATACACACGCAGGGACTGTTGGGCTTTTGGGATGGACTATGAAGGCAGCCAAGATGCCTTTTGTCCTGCAGCCAGAGCAGCAGCTTGAAGAAGGATAATATGCAAACAAACGTGACTTCATTGACACGTCTGCACTACTTTCAGACATTATTCCAATCCTTAAACAGGCACCCTGTCCTCTCTTCTTTGCCTCACTTCTTCCCTCGCGAACATGTATGGCACGCAAGGCAAGTACACATAACCGCACGAGCAACAACGCGTACGTTCTCACAAGGAAAAAAGCTGTCGATGGCACTCTGGACCACGTGACAAGTCCAACTGCCCTCAGGCTGAAACTATCTTCACTGGCCGTAAATTCAATCGAAGAAATGGCACTCAGAAGAATGTCAACAGCCTTGCCATTCTGTCTTCTTCCCACCTGTCAGTCAGGTCATGGAATGCAAGCAAATCCAAAACCACAGGTCCACATGCAAATCAATTTCGCAAAGTACACAAACCAGTCCTTCTCATCTTTTCCTCCTTGCGCTGCCGCTCCTCCTCCCGAGCACGCTTTCTCTGATCCGCGGCGTCTCTTGCCTGGAGCACCTCGAAATGTGTGCTGTACCCCTACAGCGAATTGGCAGTTGGCACCACTTGCTGTGAGTGCCCCACTTTGACATACCATCTTTGGAGCTCCTCTTCCCTGGCAATGCTCTCTGCAAACGTGCCCTGGACCTACAACTTACTACCTCGTCTCCACTTCACAGTGAACAAACAGGGCCATGATGGCCAGGAGTTTGACCCAGAATTTATCACAATGAAGCCAAGAACTGAATGTGAGTTGGGTTCTCAATAAAAGGCAACCTAGCCACGCAGTCAGAATCTGCGTGGGATAGCCCAGTCTGGCGCCGTGTCCTGCGCATACGACTTTCTTCATACCGCCGCATTTCTTCCTCTCGCCGGCGCTTCTCTTCCTGCCGAAGGCTGTTTGCTAATCCTGACCCAGAAACTTGACCTGGGGCAGTCCTCTCGCAAGCGCAGCTTTTCCTCTTCACGCTGTTTTCGCTTCTCTGCGGCAAGCTTAGCAGCTTTCTCAACACGCCGTTGCATTTCTTCCTCGCGTCTCATCCTCTTCTCTTCCCACTTCCGCATTTCCTGGCAAAGGACTGCAAGTACAGCAAAAACCAAGGAACCAAAGAATCTGTAAGTTGCGAAGTGTCCTCCTCAAACTTCCGCCTCCTTTCCTCTTCCTGCTTGCGCTTCTTCTCGGCGGCGATTCTCATCTGTTCCTCTGCCCAGCCTGGGCAGCAAGTAGTCCAAAGAATGAACAACGCGTTCCCTGGACCATTCATTCTGAGCTTTTTAATGCGGAACAGAATCCCAACCGCAACAGAGCACGTCTGCGTGAATGTTTCCCACCGTGGGATGCACATTCCTACGTTGCACTACGTCGAACAATAAGAACCTAAGTGGCCCACGCTGCAGCTTCTCCTCCCTCTTCATGCATTCTTCCTAAATGGTAGCACAACATGACACTTCCGAGTGCAAATCTTCTGTGCGCGTGCGCGTTTGCGTGCGCGTGTGCGTGCGCGTGTGCGTGCGCGTGTGCGTGCGCGTGTGCGCGCGCGCGTGCGTTTGCGTGCGCGTGCGCGTGTGCGTTTGCGTGTGAGTGCGCGCGCACGTGCGCGTGTGCGTGTGCATGTGCGTGCGCGTACACATGTGCGTGCGCTTGTGCGGGCACGCATGCGTCTCTGCGTCTGTGCGTCTGCGCGTCTGCACGTCTGCGCGACTGTCCGCCTGCGCGTCTGCGCGTCTGTGCGTCTGTGCGTCTGCGCGTCTGCGCGTCTGTGCGTCTGCGCGTCTGTGCGTCTGTGCATCTATGCATTGCGCGTCTGCGCGTCTGCGCGTCTGCGCGTCTGCGCGTCTGCGCCTTTGTGCGTCTGCGCGTCTGTGCGTCTGTGCGTCTGTGCGTTTGTGTGTTGTGTGTGCTGTGTGTGTTGTGTGTGTGGTGTGTGTGTGTGTGTTGTGTGTGTGTGTTGTGTGTGTTGTGTGTGTGTGTGTTGTGTGTTGTGTGTTGTGTGTTGTGTGTTGCGTGTTGCGTGTTGTGTGTTGTGTGTTGCGTGTTGCGTGTTGCGTGTTGTGTGTTGTGTGTTGTGTGTTGTGTGTTGTGTGTTGTGTGTTGTGTGATGTGTGTTATGTGTTGTGTGTGTTGTGTGTTGTGTGTTGTGTGTGTTGCGTGTTGCGTGTTGCGTGTTGTGTGTTGTGTGTTGTGTGTGTGTTGCGTGTTGCGTGTTGTGTGTTGTGTGTTGTGTGTGTGTGTGTGTTGTGTGTTGTGTGTGTTGTGTGTGTTGTGTGTGTTGTGTGTGTTGTGTGTGTTGTGTGTGTTGTGTGTGTTGTGTGTGTTGTGTGTTGTGTGTTGTGTGTTGTGTGTTGTGTGTTGTGTGTGTGGTGTGTGTGTGGGTGTGTGTGTGTGTGTGCGTGCGTGCGTGCGCGCGTGCGCGCGTGCGTGCGTGCGTGCGTGCGTGCGTGCGTGCGTGCGTGCGTGCGTGCGTGCGTGCGTG